CTTTATTTTCTTTTCTTTTCTTTTCTTTTCTTTTCTTTTCTTTTCTTTTCTTTTTGGGTCACACCAGGCGATGCATAGGGGTTACTCCTGGCTCTATACTCAGGAATTACTCCTGGTGGTGATCGAGGGACCATATGGGATGCTGGGAATCGAACCAGGGTCAGCTGCATGGAAGGCAAACAACCCTACTGCTGTGCTACCACTCCAGCACCCAACCTGGGTTTAATCCTCAGCACCACCTATAATCTACCAAGCTGCTCTATGAGTAATCTCTGAGCACAGAGCCATAAGTGGCCCCTGAATACTTCAGGGGGTGGCCACCCTCACCCCTTAAAAAAGGGGGGAAAGGTTGTTTTCATTCAGAGGACTCTTTATGTTTAGGGTTTGGGATACCAGAATAGAGCTTGTCTTAGTTAAAATGCTTTCCATTATCTCTAATTCCCCAAAGTTCCAGTGGGTGCCCTGATGTTGCCCTCTTTGATCAGACTTCCCAAAAGCAACTGAATATACCCACAACTTTTTCTTTTACTGCTCAAGTCCACTCATTACCACTCCCATCATCAACAACCTAAGTTGAAACATCTGTTTCTTTTTCTCTTCCCAGAACTATTACCTAATTCATTCCATTAGTTTTCACAAAGTTTTTAGGACTTTACAATTGTTGAGAGTTTAACAAGTTGTCTCCTCCCAGACTTGGATTTTAACCTAGGGCCCTAAATTGTTTAATAATATGAGTTAATAATAATAATAACATGCCTCGTAACCAAGCCAAGGAAGTTACCAACACAAGCCATAATGTATCAGATATCTTTCAGCAGAAATAATCTTATTTACATGTATATCAGTATTAAAATAATGAAGAGGTCAATGGTTCATAGTGAGATGAGTCAAGATTATTACTTTGCACAGTTTTATTTGGTTTAAGGATAATATTAGTGGCATAAGTATGTAAGTGTTTAAATCATCTTTTACCACCAATTTCAAGAAAAGAAAATAATTCTACTAGTGTTTACAAAACCTTAGTGTATCTTACAGAAGCCTTGACTTAAGAAAATATCTGTTTAGGGGCTGGGATATAGTGCCATGGTAGAGTGTTTACTTTGCATGTGTGAGGGTTTGCAAGGCTCAATCCTTGGGAGCAATTTCCTGGAAGAGAAAGAAACAAAGAAAGGAAGGAAGGAAAAGAAAGAGAGAGAGAGAGAGAGAGAGAGAGAGAGAGAGATACTGCAGGTGTTTCCAGGAGGCTTCCATAGAACATAGTCTTAAATAGACATGCCAAAAAATTTACTAAACATTAGTAACTTACAAGTGGGTCAATTTACTATATGGATATTCGTATCCTAAGAGAAAAAGTTTGGGCTAAGAGTCCTAGAACAAAAGGGAAAGAAAAGAGAAAAAGGCCTGCCTGCATAGTTAGACAGAGATGAGGCCTGGGCCCAAGCAGCTTGCAGATCCCTTCCAAATTAAGTAGGATGAAATCCCAAATTCTGGGCTCACTTTCTGTTTCCAGTAGTTAGACATTGGAAATTCACTGCCAAGGTACAAAAGTCCACCAAGACCTCCATATAAACACTTAATAATGGTCCTTTACAAGGAAATCAGCTTTAGTACCATCTACTTCCCAATTTGCATTTACCAACCAGTCACACGTTCTCTTCTTTCTTTCTTCCTTTTTCTTTTTAGTCAGCTGAAAAGCGGCATGCGCCCTACTGCTGAGCCACATCCCAAACCCTCACTCTTCATTCTTTCTTGGAATTAAAAAAAGACAATTCTGAAGTCATTTTTTTCTGCTCTGTTCTCTTTACCCACTAAACTATATTTTTCGATCTGCTGTTTGATTAATACTTTTTAAATCTCCTTTCATATACCACAAAGTTGAATTTCCCTGGTGATTCTCATTTTAGAAAATTATAGTATGTGCAGCACTTGAATCAAATTTTAGGCCTGAGCTCTCCAGTATTTTATCCACTTTCTCCATTTAATCCTTAAAACACATGAAGATGACAAAGCAATGGATATCTCAGCACCCAGGAAAGTACTAAGAACATTGTGTGCTCAAAGAAATATTTGTCAAACAAATCTTTAATAATTTTAAAGTTATTCGATAGGAATATTCAGTCTGCAAAGCTGAAATTTCTTGGAAGTGGTTTAATTACAATCTCATCAACTCTTTCATCTACAACTAGGATTAGTAAACTATTTCTCAGAACCATCTAAGACTGCACTCAAAATTTCTAACAATCAACACAAAGACAAAAAAAAAAACCTCTCAGGCTCACAGACTTTTGACTATTTTGTCTTCCTTTAATTCATTCACTCTCCTCTGAGGATACTAGAAACAACCCTGCTTGTGTTGTATCTACTTCAAACGTGGCCTCAGAATTTTCAGTCATTAAAATGTAATTTTATTTGAGAAAATGCTTTCCTTGGGAAAAGGGCAAATTGCCACTTCTCCCAGTATGGGACCTCGGGAACAAGGAAATACTCTTTACCTTGTTTCCACCACCCCCCATTTAGGGGAGAAAATTTCTAGTTTCGTTTATTCAATAAGCATTTTAGGAGTGTTTTTGGGCAGCGCGGTACTAAGGGATGTGGCGAGGTATACAAAATAGAGCAAGTGCACAGTCCGCCCCCCAAAGAGGTTACTATGCAAAGAGAGAGAACCAGGCTCGGAACTCAGAACAAAAGCTGTGAGTGCATAATAATGTCCTAGTGGGGGTGGGGGAGGGGACTGTGGAAGCCCGCTCCTTACTAGGAAAGTCGTTTGGAGGAGGTGAGAGCTTGGGCCAGCGCTGACAGAGGTTGACGGTAATGATTTGCTGCAGTGAAAGTTGCAGAGTCTTCAGCCGATAAACATCTGGCACGATTTAAAGGTGAGAAGAGACTGTAGTGTGGTGATGCGTGGTAGCGGTGGATGGGGGTCGGGGTACAGAAGGAGATTGATTTCCAAGCCATCCGAAGACCGATTGGGAAAAGGCTGCTTTTGAGTAAGGAGATAGGTAAGTCCGTGGATAAAGATGGGAAGAGGAGGCTCTTCTTTGTGGTTCTTATGGAAAAAAGTTTAGACTCTTCTGAGATGAGGTAAAACAATGCATGGACTTGGTGTTTTTAAAAAGTAGGGATTGATTTTTAAAGAGGAGGAACTGATGCATGCCACTTTGTATCTGCATAAGAATGGCCTAGGTTAACATGCCAGCTGTTAATTGGCCATTTCCCTTTCGTGAAGACAGATTTCCCTTCAAATTTTTGTTGATTGAACAATAAGTTACAGATAGTGCACTTGGGGGAAGAAAGAAAAAAAAAAGATCATGCCTTCCTTTAAAAAATATTCCCCAAAGTGAAATTTCTGATTTAAAGGAAATACAAAAAACCTAGAGCTTGCCTTCTTTATTGTGCTTGCCTTGTTTATCGCAAGCTCTCGAACCCCCTCGGCACGTTTTAAACTTTGCGCGTTGTCTTGCTGTGCCCCCAAGCACGCAGGAAGATACAAAATCGCCTTTCCCTTACAGATTCCCCACAAGGTAGTTGAGTCGACAGAATTAGCTCCGTGCTGAACACAAAATCGCAGCCCGATTAATACTAATGCTTCGACATCTTCATATTCCGGTAGATTTGAAGGCATGACTTTCTCCCTCGGTCCTTTTCCTTCCCCCCCTTTTTATTGCCACACCTATTGGTGCTTAGGGCTTGTTCCTGGCTCTCTGCTCAGGAATCACTCCTGCTGGCTCGGGGAGGACCCTATGGGATGCCCAGAATCGAACCTTGGCCGCGTGCAAGGCAAGGTTCCAGCCCGCTGTACTATCTTATCTTTCCACTTTTCCTCCTTTACTAGCTCCCCTCTTCGTTTTATTTTGTTTTGTTTGACTGAGCGTCATTATCGGAAACTGACCGTTTCAGGTAAAAGAGTCGGTTTTTGGAGAGGATAGGGGGTTTTTCGTTTGTTTGGGGAGTCACACGCGGCGATGCTCAGGGATTACTCGGCTCTGCATTCAGGAATTGCCTTTAGCAGTGCTGGGGGATGGCACTGTTTCTAGCAGAGCTCGGGGCCGGAATTACTCCTAGTGGTGTTGGGGGGCCGGGGATGGAATTACTCCTAGTGGTGTTGGACTGGCGGGGGGAGGGGGGGGCTTTGTGGGATGCCGGGGATCGAACCTGGATCAACGCCTGCAAGACAAGCGCCCTAGTCGCTGTACTACTCTGCAGTCCCTCAGGTAAGGCAGTTTGTACAGACAGATGTGTCCTTCCGTGCCCCTGAAATCTTATTTCTCAGGAAGCTTCCCACTTTGGAAGAAATCTGAGGAAATCCCGGCCGCTTGGGCGCGCGCACCCAGCTGTTTTCTTAAGGAAGGCGGCAGCGTTGGCTGGGGTCATTTCGACCGCGCTTCAACGAGCGCCCACTCGGAAGACAACGGCATCGGGGCGCGTTTCTGCCCCACAGGTCGATGGTGTGAGTCGCCGAGATCCAGGGAAGGGGAAGCGACGCCTTGGAGCAATCGTTGCCTTTCCCGAGCTCGTCGGAAACACAGGCCCTCCCGTCGGGTACCACCCCCCCCAACCCCCCCAAAGGTGTGAAGCGCGCCTGCAGAGAGCTGCGACTAGCTCGGCGGGCAGCGCTAGCGACCACCCCTGCATTGCTCGACGCCGCCGAGTTCGGGGCCGGGCCCCAGTTCCCCCTCCCATCCCCCCCACCCAAGACAGGAGGCCGGCTCCTGGGGAGGTTCTCTCGGAGGGAGGCGCTTTCCCCGGGATCTGGACGGCTCCCCGGAGCAGCTCGCCAGAGGTCCCGCCGGGCAGGGGCAGGGGCGGCCCCGCCCACAGCCCCCAAGGCGCGGGGCGGAGCCAACGCGGAGCGGGGGCGGGGCCAGAGCCGGAGGGCGGGGCCTGCCATGGCGTCACCGCTGACGTTCGCCGCCCTCACCGGGCCGCCGCCGCCGCGGCCACCGCCAGCCGCCACCACCGCCGCCGCCGAACCGGGGGGCGGGGGCGGGGAGTGGGTATTGGGGCGAGCGCTAAGATGGCCGCCCCGGCTCCGGCTGGTGAGTGTGCGCGAGGGGCACGCGAGGCGGCGGCGGTTGGCGAAGCGAGGCTCCCTGAGGGAGCGGATCGTCGGACTAGAGAGCGCCCCCTCCCCCGCCCACTACCACCCCCCCACCCCACCCCCGGCCTCTCTGGGCCGGGAGGCACCTGGCGGCGTTTTCCCCGCCGCTTCGGGGCGCTGGGAAGTCCTGCGGGAGGGAGCCGGGGGCGGCGGAGCGACTGCCCGGGAGCGAGCTGAGGGGCGCGGCTCAGTCTGCGGCGGGGCCGGCGAACTTAGAATTGGCGCGTCTGGGAAGTTTCGGTGGGTCGTGCGTGGCTGCTGCCCGGTGTCCCGGCGCGGGGGAGCCCCTGTTGCTGTGTCCCCCCCCCCACTTGCACTTCCAACACACACACACACACACACAGACACACACACACACCACCACCACCACCACCTTCTCCCCCGCCCCCAGCACCACCCCAGGATGTCGGGAGGGGCCGCGTCCCCAGTGCCCGGGGGTGAAGGTGGTGGGGAGGCGGGCAGCGGGATCGCCACCCCGCGCGGGAACTCCCGGGCCGGGGTGTCGGGCTGGGGGGGGGAGCGAGTTAGGCAGGACAAGGGTCGGGAGGGGGGGCGTTGAGGGCAGATTGGAGGAGACGCGGCGGTCTCCGGGCGGGGAGCCGCGTTCCCGAGCGTCGGGGAAGGACGGGTTCGCGAATCTGACGCGGGCTGAGGCGGCTCTGCAGAGTTGGCGCGGTCGGGATTAAAAATCCGGATCCTACCCCGGCTCCCGGGCCCCGGGGCTCTTGTCGAAGCCTCCCGCAGCCCGGAGGGATGATGCTTTGCCCGGAGCGGCGGCTGTTTGAGTTCCCCGCCTTCCCCTTCCACCCGCTCGGGTGGCCCCCAGCGCGGCGGGCACCTGCTGCCGCTCCGGGACTCTCGGGCGTTGGGAATCCCCGCTTGCTGCTCCATTCCTCCCCCCTCCCCCAGGAAAAGGACTGGGACTAGGGCGACACTTCTCTGGGACGTGGTGGGGTGGGCAGTGCAGGAAAAAATGTCACCGAGAGATGATTGATCAGAGATGCCTTGCAAGTTCTCGAGGTGGTTGAATCCTTCACCCCCTCCCCCGCCCTTGCCCGACACCCCACTAAAAAAGAAAGTGAAACGCGATGGTTTTAATGCAAGCTCAAGCCTGTTTGTCAAATTCTACTTGATGAGCGGTTACGTTCTTGCAGTGTTCAATTTTGGAAATGAAAAACCCTGTAGCAGCCCTTGGGGGAGAGTCGCAGCGCCCTCAGGCACCTTCCCCCCACTTTGAAAACTTAATTGTCAGATCTGGCGGGTAACGGAGCTGTGAAATTAGCATGGAAATTCCGACTTCCAGGCCCTGCACTTGAATTCCTTATTACCGGTTAAGTGGCTGCTTGTGGGGTAAGAGGCGGCGGGTAGTAACATTGTGCCTGGAATTCCGCTTTGAGTCTTCTTTCAAAACCTGCAAACGCCGTAAACAAGGAAAAAGAATTGGTTATTCACAGTCATCAAGTTCATGCTAAATATGAGTTAAGCATATGTTTGAAGAGTATTTTATGATCTCAATGAGATTTTAATATTCGGTAATTTTGGAAGAGGTTAAAAACTTTGTATTTTGGAAGTCTAATCTTTGTATCCTTAATTTGGCTTCTCGGTATTTGAAAGAGATTTTCTGGGCTCATTTAGCTTCACACACGTGCACAGTTTAGTTTTTCATTTATTTGCTGTTGATTTATGTAATGGATAGCAGTTTTTTTTCAATTTAGTGTTTATCACTGTAAATAACTCACAGAAATTTAGATACTTGATATTAAATTAAGTTTACACATTGTAGAAAGTTGAAATGTTTCAACTTTTTTTCATCCAAAATATTTATTTCTCCATTGTTTTATTTTAAATACATTTAAGTGAAAAGTGAATCAGTTTTTAGCATGATTTACAGTCAACTTTTAGAGTATTTGGAATGGAAAATTTGAAGATTTGGGTTAAATAATATGGGATGTATTGTTTCAGCTTAATTACCTTTGCTTCCTTTTTTCACAGATTTTTCTTTTTGCACTACAAAAAAAAAGGGAAAGGAATAAGGTACATATATCCTCTACCAAACATTTTCTCTAACACACTTGAATCATAATTAGTGTTATTAACATATATGTAATTCATATCTATACTATTGGTGGTACATAAGAGGATTTGCTGCTTATTGGGTGGTTTGAGGATGGAGTCTCATTATATTGTATTACCCTCTAAAAACCTGATTACAGCTTAACATAGATCAGAACTCTCTTTTTCTTGATTAGGTTTTTGAATGGTAGTGAGGTAGAGACAAGGGCACCATTTTTGAAAAAAAAAAAAGTGCTTTGAAGTTTCTTTCTCTTTAGGCAGAACAAAGGTGGTTGCCAGATTGTAATAGACTTGTCCACTGAAGAGTTACTTGAGAGAGGCCAGAGCACAGTATAAGAAGGTGAACCCATATAGAAAATATGCAGTTAGGCTTAGCCTAACTAGTTGACAGGTAATTAAAGAATTCTACAAATAGCTGTCGTCTGGCACAGATTGAGATTATTGTACAATACTTGATTTTTATCACTTATAAACATGTGCCTCAAATTTGGTTGAACCTATGCCTTAAATGTGTGGGGTAGGTTTGATCCTTGGTACTGCAAAGCAAAAATGAAACAACAACAAAAAATCCTTTATTTGAGCTGGAGAGATAGTACTTGCTTTGCATGCTGCCAACCCAAGTTTTATTCCTGGTACCACAGATGGTCCCCCTGAACTCTGTCAGGAGTGATCCCAGAGCACCACCAGCGGTATCCAAAAAAGAAAAAAGTTTAAAAAAAACTGACTGGAGAGGTAGTACACAGAGGTTAAGGCAATTGCTTTGTATGTGACCCTGGTTTGATTCTCGGTGTACATTGCAGGCTATCACAAAACAAAACAAAAAAACAAACAAACAAACAAAAAAAACTTTGTCAAGAATTTTTACATGGCATAGGAAGAAACTATGTTCAAGAATACACTTTTTTTTTTGGTCTTTTGGGTCACACCCGGCAATGCACAGGGGTTACTTACTCCTGGCTCTGTACTCAGGAATTACTCCTGGTGGTGTGCGAGGGACCATATGGGATGCTGGGATTTGAACCTGGGTTGGCCGCATGCATGGCAAACACCTTACCCGCTGTGCTATCACTCCAGCCCAAGAATACACTTTTGAATGTGTTGGAGAGATGGTGCAGTAGGCACCACTTCGCTTGCATACAGCCTATCCAGGTTCCATCCCTGACACTGCATATGGTCTCTGAGTCAGCACGGCCAGTTGACTGAAAAACTAAAGCCGACACACACCCTTTGATATGAATGATATCTGGAAGGTTAGCCAGTCTGGGCATTTTTATACGTAATATTTGCGCTTAATTTACTGGACCCTTTGAGTGCTCAGTCGTTTTGTTTGCCCCATTGTTAAGCTCCCTATAGCCAAATGATCTGTCAATTTGATGGTATGATGCTAATGGTAAATATTTATTCCATGAATTCGATAGTTGTCTACATGATAGGTGAGCAATACTTGCCGAACTTAATTGATGTTCTTTTTTTTAGACACATTCAGTCTCAATCCTTCAAGAAAGGCATGTTAGAGAGTTAAAGAAGGCCCAGGTCGAAATGATATCCTTCATTATTTAATCTGGATTTTCAAGCAAATTCAGGGCAATTATGCATTTATATCTCTAAAGGAAGAAAGAATAACAGGGCCTTCTAGGGATATAAAGGAAATACAATCATGATTGACAGGGAGAGATGCAGTAGCAAATAATAGACATAATAGCATACCTAAGAGAGAGCAGGGAGAACTTGAGAGACCATTGTGTGTGTGTGTGTGTGTGTTCAGTAATTTGTTCATTCAAAAATATTGAACATTCTTCTGTGTACCAGACACTGTGCTTGACCCTTGACATTTTACAAACAGCTCTTAAGAGGACATAGTCCTGTAGTGATTCTATGAAAGAAATGAAAAATTGAAAAAAGCTTACAAGGAACTGATAGGGTTTGCCCCAATTACTTATGAACAAAGTTATTTTCATTTCTTTCCAAATACATGAAAAGACCACTTCCTATTGAAATTATTCATTTTCTCTTATGAAAGATAATAATGGATTTTTCTACATTTAATTTTTTTAGAGGATCTGTTTGGGCTATTTGGTACTGTTAAAAGAAAATTTGTGAAGTTCCTTTACAAAAATTATCTTTGCTTAACGGTCCATTTATGACTATGCTTTTATATCTATTCCTCTGGGAGGTCTCGGGAGAATTTTAATGAGATAAAGATGGTTACTGTGACAGTTTATTTATTCTACTTTATGGCCAGCGGTACTTTTATAGCTTTCTTTAATTAGAATGTGCTCATCCATTTCCTATGAAAAAAAGTTCATTATTCCAATTTTGAAAAGCTTAAAAAAATCAACTTATTCGTAGTGTGGTCATTTGTCTATAAAAACATCTTAACAAAAGATGTGTGGAAAGTGGCTGGTTATAGATTAGAGTAGAAAAGTATGTATTGTAACCACAATTTGAAGGCTCTCAAATGAAGTTAAGAAGTTTAGATTTGTCTTAGACTCTGGAGCAACCCTTTTTAATAATCGTAAAACTGCTTTTACTAGAGACTATGAATTACAGAAAATGAATAACAGGTTGATTATTTTGCCAAGTATGAGCTACAGAAGCTGGGGTACTTACCCTTTGAGGGTGTGGGGCTGGATTCACAACTCATGTTTCTGGTAGTGCTTATTGAGACTGTGCTGGAATAGAACCCAGGGCTCTTACATGCAAATCATGTGCACCAGCCCTCTGAGCAATCTTCCTAAAAGAGCGGAACTCCCTGGCCTTGAAAGGAAGAACTTAATAGACAGTAATTATGTTGTTTTAACATCTAGTCAGATTCTAAAATATAAATTGCTTTAATTCTTTTCCTTCATTTTACAACATCTCTTGGGGGTGTGGAGGGCCATACACAGTGGGACTCTTGGCTCTGCACTCAGGAATTATTCCTGCTTGTGCTCGGGGCACGATATGGGATGCCCGGGATTGAAAAAAATATTTACAAAATAAAGGTGGGATTAAACCAAAAATATTCTTACTTTTGCATATTGCTTAGTACAGATACCCATTAAAATTCATGTTTTACTGCCCTAAAAACTTAAAGTGATGGGTCTGGAGCGATAGTACAGTGGAAAGGGTGTTTGCCTTACACGTGGCCAACCTGGGTTTGATACCCAGCATTTCATATGGTCCCCTGAGCACTGCCAGGAGTAACCCCTGAGCATCGGCAGCTGTGACCCAAAAAGCCAAAAAAAAAAAAACCCTAAACCTTAAAGTAGAGGTCATGCTACATGGAATGTTCTGCATGCTCCACAATTTTCTACTTGTAACCTGAAATCTGTGTTAGTTTAATTGTGTATTTAAATAAATGAAAATATTTTGGGGGATTGGATCACACCTGGCAATGCTCAGGGGTTACTCCTTGCTCTGTGCTCAGGGATCATTCCACTCCTGATGGTGCTTGGAGGACTATAGATAATTCCAGGAATCAAACCGGGATTGATCACATGCTAGACAAGCTCCATTACTCCTATGCAGAAGTTCCACACTATCTATTTGGCCTTGAAAATAGTTTTTTTCATTCCTGGTTAGTCATTCACTGATTTTGGGAGTGTAGGAGAGTGGAAGTGGGGTTATGTCAGGGATCAAACCTTGGTATCAAATCTCTTACATGCAAAGCATATGCTTTACCACTATCCAATTTTTTCTATAGTGATCACTGTTTTGTGGTCACTGCCTTTTTTTTTTTTTTGAGGCCATACTCGATAATTCTCTGAGGCTACTCATGGATCACTGCTCAGCGTTTGCTCCCTGTAGTGCTTAGGGAACCATGTAGTGCTGGGAATTGAACCCAGGATTAGCATGCAGAGCATGCGCTGTGTGCTCTAGATCATTGAGCTGTCTCCTTGTCCTAATCACTGCTTGAAAAAAATTTTTTGAGGCACTGAGATTTACAAAAGTATGCATGATTGAGTTTTAGGGATACAATGTTTCAACTCCAGTCCCATCACCAGTGTCAGCATCCCTCTACCAATGTCCTCATATTCCCTCCCACCCAGGTGTAGTGTTCTGTGTGTCCCCCCCCCCCCCCACCCCCCACCCCGCTTTAGTCACTGTGGTTTACAATATGTTACTGATAGGGTTTCTTGCATAACACTTACTACCTTTCGGTACCACATCTAAAAAAAATTTTTTTTATGTTGGGGTATGTGTGTGTGTGTGTGTGTGTGCGCGTGTTTTAGAATAAGCTTGTTTAGGGAAGTAGCACAGAGCTAAATCATTTGGATTGCAGGTGTGAGGCCATAGGTTTGAACCACAGAATCCTCCACACTCCTCCCAAAATAGTACAAGCTTGTTTCAGATAATATGTGGATTTGATAGTATGTATGCATTCATTATATTATCATCCACTTTATATGCTGCTTTTTAATTTGCTTATATGCTCTCATCTATTACTGAAAATTTATTTGTTCTCTTTTTTTAAGAAAGAATATCTAGTTAGGTGTGTTACGTTTTTTTAATTTAAAAAAATTGTTTTGGGGCCACATTAGCAATGCTCAGGGTTTACTCCTGGCCCTGTGCTCAGGGATCACTCCTGGCAGAGCTTGCGAGACCATATGTGGTGCTGGGGCTGGAACCCAAGTTGACTGCATGCAAGGCAAGCACCTTACCTGCTGTTCTCTGTCTCTGTCTCTGTCTCTGTCTCTGTCTCTCTCGCTCTCTGTCTCTCTGGCCCCTTAAGTCAGTTTTGTTATAAAATCATATCATTACTGATTCACTAATGAAATGGGAAGCCTGATTTGGAAGCTCCACAGTCATTCAGGAAAGTAGAGATGCATGAATGAAGACTTTCTCTGGTCTCCTCCCTCTGCCACAGCTACATTGCTGCCCATTTCCTCTTGTACCGAAATACAGAGGTTCCCTGTAAGAAACAGCAGAACCTATTTCTGGTAGTCCTTCTCATCTGAACGAGTCTGCTAATGTCATGTACGTGTGTGTGTGTGTGTGTGTGTGTGTGTGTGTGTGTGTGTGTGTGGCGGGGGGGAGTAGTGAGGGGAGCGGCAGTTTGGGCCATACTTGGCTGTGCTCAGGCTGTGCTCAGGGCTTACTACTCCTGGCTCTGTACTCAGGGATCATGCCTGATGGGGTGGGGGACCATATGCTGGGCTGGGAGTCAAACCGGAGTCAGCTGCATGCAATGCAAGTACCTTACTGGATATGCAGTTTCTCTGGCCCCTATTATGTCTTTTAATTAACCCCCTATCTCTCCCTGATTGAAACTTCTGAGGCAGGATATGTTTTTAGTAGACATAAGTGCTTAGTGTACCCAGCTCCTTCATTTGGAGTAGAGGTTTCCAAGCCACCATTTTTATATTTACTGTGGACTGCCCTTTTCCCACTACTACTGTGACTAGTCATTTGGCTGAGATTTTTTTTCCCTTTGCAGCAGTTTCCAACCACCATCTCTCCTGGGGAAAATACGTGTCTTGCTCTGCCCTTCTTTCTTTCCCACTTCTGGCCTTAGAGGACAGTGGAAAAATCCTGTGTCGCCCCCCACCCCCACTATCACACACACACACACACACACACACACACACACACTCACACACTCACATACTCATACATATACACTTTTGTGTCTCCACTAACCTGGACTGTCTCTTGGACCCCATGGTTTGAATGTCTGATAAGGGAAGAGGAACAGATACTGATTATTCATCACTACAGGATGGGAATGAGGATATTCCTGTTCCAGGAGAGAGGGAACAGAGATGGTGTAGACACGGTAGTTAGGACTGGATAGATAGGTAATGTGCTGCCCTACATCATGTGGCTGACCCCAGTTCAAATTCCTGGCACCAAATATGGTTTCCTAAACACTTCCAGGGGTCACCCCTGAGCACAAAGTCAGGAATAGCCCCTGGGCACCACTAGATATAGCTCTAACATGAAGAAAAAATGATATTTAGTGTGTTTTATTTAAATGAATGAGTTTTGTTCATGATAGCTACTATTTATTAAATATTTCCTATAGGTAAAGGTAAAGGTAAAGGCCCTCCCGTTGATCATCGATTTGCTCGAGCGGGCCCAGTAACGTCTCCATTGGAGACTTTGTTGTTACTGTGTTTGGCATATCGAATACGTCACGGGGACCTTGCCAGGCTCTGCCTTGCAGACGAGATACTCTCGGTAGCTTGCCAGGCTCTCCGAGAGGGACGGAGGAATCGAACTTGGGTCGGCCATGTTGGCTGCTTATAAGGCAAATGTGCCCATTAAATGTGAACTCAGTCCTTAAGCAATTTAGTGATGTTGATATGTTCTCCCATTCTTTGGAATGGTCATTCTCCCATTCTTTTGAGATGGTCAGACTTCTGACCATCTTCTTCCTGAATGATCGGTTTGAGGCTCAGCATGTTCCTAGAACGAACATATGCCATTGGGCTACGCTAGCACGCAACAGGGATGAATGGAGACATTACTGGCACCCGCTCGAGTAAATCGATGAATAACGGGGGATCAAGTGATCAAGTGATATGTTCTCCACTTCATAGGTGAAGTTTAGAGGAAGAACTTAAGGTATTTGCCCAAATCAAACAACAGATATATGCTAGAGGCTCTTCAGAGCTGTTACTGTTTCAAAACCAGAGCTTTAAAATTATGGTTAGGCTGTATGGGGCCAAAGCAATAGTATGGGGGCTAGAGCGCTTATCTTGGGTTTGTTCCCCATCATTGCATATGGTCCACCAAGCCCTGCTAGGAGTGACTTCTGAGTACAGAGCCAGGAGTAAGCCCTAAGCATGGCTGAGAGTGGCCAAAAAGAAACAAAATTAGGATTTAGTAACTCCAGACCCAATTTTTGTTTTGTTTTAGGGCCACAGGGGCTACTCCCGTTTCTATGCTCTGGGGACCATGCTGTGCTAGGAGGTGAAACCCATACCTCCTGCATGCAGAGTATGTTCCTAGCCCATTAAGAGCTCTCTGGTCCCATTCTCATTTTTAAAAGTTTTGAAACTGCCCCTGACAGGATTGGGTAAAAATGCCAGATTTTATTTGGATTTAGAGAAAAATGGTCACTACCTATTCTTTACCACTAGGTGGAGGCAGAAAACAAAGTTCCAAAAGCCCCAAGTCCCCGCTCCCCCACCCCCCATCCCCACAAAGAAAGGCGTTCTAAGAATGTGGATGACTAAAGGAGGACACTTAACTGTTTAGGTAGTGACGGTTATCCTAGAAATTGGGAGCATGAAGTGCAGACTTATAAAATTCTTAGAAAAATACTTTATAAAAAACATAATGTTGGCTTCCTGTTTTCATTTTTAAAAAAGGCTTTTCTGTTTAGTTTTCAGATGCTGCAAGTATTGTGAACAGAGACTTATTTGGATTATGTATTTCTCAGCTAGACTAAATAAATGTTAACAATGGATAATTGCAAACACATTGGGCAGTTGCGGCTTGCTCAAGACCATTCTATCCTCAACCCTCAGAAATGGCATTGTGTAGACTGCAATACAACTGAGTCAATTTGGGCTTGCCTTAGCTGTTCTCATGTTGCCTGTGGAAGATATATTGAAGAGCATGCACTCAAGCACTTTCAAGAAAGCAGCCATCCTGTTGCATTTGAGGTGAATGAGATGTATGTTTTCTGTTATCTTTGTGATGATTATGTTCTAAATGATAATGCAACTGGAGACCTGAAGTTACTACGAAGTACCTTAAGTGCAATCAAAAGTCAAAATTATCACTGCACCACTCGTAGTGGAAGAGTTTTACGGTCTATGGGTACAAGTGATGATTCTTATTTCTTACATGATGGCACCCAAACTCTGCTGCAAAATGAAGATCAAATGTATACTGCTCTTTGGCACAGGAGAAGGATACTTATGGGTAAAATCTTTCGGACGTGGTTTGAACAAGGAAGAAAAAGGCAAGAAGAGCAACTTCAGGAAAAAATAACAGCCAAAAAAGAAGTGAAGAAAAGAAGGCAAGAATCAGAGCATCAAGTAAAAGCGGAATTGGAAAGTGTGCCCCCAAGAAAGAGTTTACGCTTGCAAGGTCTGGCTCAGTCCACAACAATAGAAATAGTTCCTATTCAAATACCACAACAAAGCCCAGCATCACCAGCAAAAGAGATAATATCTACCTCAGCAGCTGTTAGATTTAAAAAAGCCACTGACTCCCCAATAAAACGAAGGCCAGTAGTAACTCCTGGTGTAACAGGATTGAGAAATCTAGGTAATACTTGTTACATGAATTCTGTTCTTCAAGTATTGAGTCACTTACTTATTTTTCGGCAATGTTTTCTGAAACTTGATCTGAACCAATGGCTGGCTGTGACAGCTAGTGATAAGACAAGAACATCCTACAAGCACCCACAGATCACAGAGACAGTATATCAAGTGAATGAATACCAAGATACAGGCTCTGTGCGCTCCAGACATCCAAGTCTGTCATTAGGACTGAGTGGTGGAGCATCAAAGAATAGAAAGATGGAACTTATTCAACCAAGGGAGCCAAGTTCACAGTACATTTCTCTTTGTCATGAGCTGCATACTTTGTTTCAAGTTATGTGGTCCGGAAAATGGGCCTTGGTCTCACCATTTGCTATGCTGCATTCAGTGTGGAGACTAATTCCTGCATTTCGTGGCTATGCCCAACAAGATGCTCAGGAATTTCTCTGTGAACTTTTGGATAAAGTACAACATGAACTGGAGACAACGGGTACCAGATTACCAGCTCTTATCCCCACTTCTCAAAGGAAAATTATCAAACAGGTTCTGAATGTTGTAAATAATATTTTTCATGGACAACTTCTTAGTCAGGTATGGATTCTTTAATTTTATCTTTCACTGAGGAGTAATATTGGCTTATAAGAATGTGAATGTTTATGGGGTTGGAGAACAGGTGCTTACTTTCCATGTGATTAACATGGGTTTGATCCTTGGCACCTCATATGGTCCATTGAGCCCTGCCAGGAGTGATCCTTGAGCGCAGAACCAGGAATAAGCTCTGAGTACTGCCAGATGTGGCCCTCACAAAATGTGAACGTTTATATATTTTAATGGTATAGTGCCTGCCAACAAAGTGTCAGTATTCCTCTACCACAGACCAATAGATGCTTTCAACCCACTTCCCCCTAACTTGGTCACTTCATTTCTGTGACAGATCTTAAGGGTTTGTTTTCAGTGGGACAGTACCTATTTCCTTGCATCACTTCTTAATACACCATATATCGGTGAAGTTATCCCTTATTTATCTTCTTTTGATTTATTTCACATAATTTCAAAACTCCTCTGTTCCATTCATGTCCTAGACTTTTATCTTTTCTTATAGATGAGTAATATTCCATTGTGTATAAATATTATAGTTCTTTTTTGTTTGTTTGTGGGCCACACCTGGTTCTGCACTCAGGGATTAATTCTGGTGGTGCTTGGCAGACCATATGGAATGCCAGGGTTTGAATCTGGGTCAGCTCTGTGCAAAGCAAGCACCCTACCTGCTCTACTTACCACTCTGGCCCTTAAATACCACAGTTCTTTATTCATTCTTCTGTAATGGGGCACTTGGTTGTTTAAATGTGAGGTGATACATCATTATATGATTTGCATTTCCTTGATAATTAGTGATGATGAACATTTTTTTTCTGTGTCTCGTTTATCATATATCTTCTTTGGATGAAGACATTTTGATGGTGTTTTTTTATTACTAAGTTTTGATATGTATGATTTCAAATATTTTTGACAGTCAATAAGGTGTCATTTTTGTTTTAGTTATTTTTTGGGGGGAAAGTGATAGTTTCTTTTGCAGTGCAGAAGCTTTTTGAATTGCTGTAATCCCATTTGTATAATTTAGCTTTTTCCTCCCTTTGCCAGTGGAGCCTAATAAGTGGAGGCACCACTGAAGCCAGTATCACGGAATATTATTCCCGCGTTTTCTTTCATGTAATTTTTTGATTTAGGTCTAACCTCCAAGACTTCTTAACATATTTTGAATTTTTTTTGCATTGTGAAAGTGGTTTGGATTTAGTCTTTTGCATGTGATTACACAGTTTTCCTAACGTACTTTGAAGAGACTTTTTTCCATTTTATCCTCTTGGCTCCTTCATTATAAATTAATTTTCCATACAATGAGGAATTACTTCTGAATTCTCCTTTCTAGTTCATTGATCTTAGAATCTACCGTAATTCCAGTACCACACCATTCTGATTACTATAATTTTGTAGTAGAAAGTTTGAGGGTAATATGACTCCTATCTTTTTTCTCAGAATTGTTTTCACTATTGGCGCCTGTTTTATGGTGTTCTGTACACATTACAGTAATATTTTAATGCTCTTGAAGAAGGATTGTGGAATTTTGATAGGGAATTTGTTTAACTCTTTAGTGCTTTGGGCAGGATAATCATTTAATAAAAATAACTATCCCAATCCACATGGAATATTTTCCTCATGTCTTCAGTTTTCTTTCAAAAGGGAATCAAAGTTTTGATGTATAATTTTTCACCTCATTGGTTCTTAGGACTTGATTATTTCTCAAATAATTGTAAACGTAGCTTCCTCCCTATTCCCCTTCCAATTTCCCTCCCTCCCTCCCTCCCTCCCTCCCTCCCTCCTTCCTTCCTTCCTTCATTCCTTCCTTCCTTCCTTCCTTCCTTCCTTCCTTCCTTCCCCCATCATGCCCAGTGATGCTTAGGATCAATCATGACATTTACAGGGACCATATGCAATATTGGGTATTGAACCCAGGTTGGCCACCTATTATACATCCCTGTTATTTATTTTTGTCTTCTAGTTCATTATTTGCATATACAAGGGAATTTTGTATTTTGGTTGTGTAGTCTGTCACTTTACTATGTTCATTTATTCAAATAGTCCTTTTTTGTTGTCTTTTTGGCCATGTCCTGTGGTTTTCCTGGCTCTGTGCTTGCTCCTGGCTCTGTGCTCAGGAATTACTTCTGGTGGGGATCACTTCAATTCTCTATGTTGTCTGCAAATAGTGATAGTTTACCCACTTTGCAGTTTGGTTCCTTTTTTCATCTTTTACCTAACTACAATAGTCAAGTGCTCCCAATATTACATTGAATAATACTAGTGACAGTGAACATTCTCGTTTTGTGCCTGACCTTAGCAATTTTTTTTTTATTTTTCACTATTAAGATGTTAACTCTATCACAGTCTTTTATTGGGGATGTGATATGTCACATTACTTTATGCATATATTGAACTATTCTTGCATCTGGGAAGTAAGCCCACTTGTATTGTCGAATTTGTTTTGCTAAGATTGTATTGAAGTTCTTTACATTCTTTACATCTATGATTATCATGATTCTTGGGCTATAGTTTTCTTCTGTTTCCTTTTGGTATCAGGGTAATGCTGGTGTCATAGAAACTGGACGGATTATTTGGGGGGGGTGGTTTCATACCCAACTATGCCCAGGGATAACGTTTGGTTCTGCTCTGAAGAATTACTCCTGGCAGTGCCTAGGGGACCATATGAGATGCTGGAATTGAACCAACATCAGAGCTCTGCCTGCTGTACATTATTATCTCTCCAGCCCCCAAACTGGAAGAATGCTTGTTTCTCCAGGGTTGTTTGTTTAGAATAGATTGAAGACAAGAGATAATCTTTGAAGATTTGATAGAACTAACTTGTGAAACCTTCTGGATCCCAGCTTTTGTTTCTGGGAGAATTTAAGTTACTGTTTCAATCTCCCTGCTTGTAATTGGCATATTCAGTTTTCTGTTTCCTCCTGATCCAGTCTTATGGGGTTGTGTGATTCTAAAACTTCATTTCTATTTGGTTCTGCAGTTTAGTGGTATAAAGTTATTCATAGTAGTGTCTTGTGATCTTTTGTTTTTTGTGGCATCTGTTTTAACTGTTATTTCTGATTAACTTATTAACTTATTTCTGATTAACTTATTAAGGCTTTTTTTTTCTTCATGTGCCTAGCTTAAGGGTTGTCAATCTTGTTTATTTTTTCAAAGAACCAGCTCTTGGTTTGATATTTTATATATCCCTTTTCCATTTTTATTTCATTTATTTCTGCTCTGGACTGGAGCTGGAGCGATAGCACAGTGGTAGGGCGATAGCACAGTGGTAGGGCATTTGCCTTGCACGCAGACAACATGGCCGATGCGAGTTCGATTCCTCCGCCCCTCTCAGAGAGCCCGGCAAGCTACCGAGAGTATCTTGCCCGAGCCTGGCAAGCTCCCCGTGACGTATTCGATATGCCAAACATAGTAACAACAAAGTCTCCAATGGAGACGTTACTGGGCCCGCTCGAGCAAATCGATGATCAACGGGAGTGCCTTTACCTTTACCTTTTATTTCTGCTCTCATTTTTCATTCTTTTAACTTTGAGTTTCTTTTTATTTATTTATTTATTTATTTATTTTGGCTTTTTGGGTCATACCCGGCAATGCACAGGTGTTACTCCTGGCTCTGTACTCAGGAATTACTCCTGGCGGTGCTCAGGGGACTATATGGGATGCTGGGAATTGAACCCGGGTTGGCCATGTGCAAGACAAATGCCCTACCCACTGTGCTATTGTTCCAGCCCCAACTTTAGGTTTCTTTTGTTCTAATTTTTCTAATTTCTTAAGTTGTGAGGTTAGTTTCTGTGTGAGCTTTTTCTTATTTGCTGATATAAGGGTATATTTTTACAAACTTCATAGTATTTGAGAAGGGGCAGACTGGCTATGCTCAGGGCTTATTCCTGGCTCAGCTCAGGGTTTATTCCTGGCTCTGCCCTCAGGAATCACTCCTGGAGTGGCTCAGGGGGATCATACAGAGTACTGGAGATGGAACCTGAGTTGTCTGTGTGCAAGGTACATGGCCTACCCACTATACTATCTCTCTCTAGACCCTTAGTATGCTTTAGTTGTTACAGATATGTACTGATAGTTCATATCTACATTCTCATATTTCTAGAAATAAAAAATATCTTCATTGAGGTACTCTGATTTACAGTACTATTAATGATAATTTTTCATTGTCCATATTCCAATACCATGTGTCCCTAGAGCAAGACACTTCCCTTTCAACCTCCTCTTTTTACTGCTGCCATTCCAAAAAAAAATCTGTTATGAGCTTGATCACTTGAGATCCCGTTACTCATCCATTTGCTCTAGCAGGCGCTGGTAACATCTGCATTCGTCCCTGTCGCGTGCTAGTATAGCCCAATGGTGTCTGCTTGCTCCAGGAACACAAAGAGCCTCAAACCCAATCGTTCAGGGTCTTGACGAAGTCTGACCATCTCGTAACTGTAACAGTAGATAGTTATATGAGCAGGATTTATTAATTTCGTTTGCCCAATACTTCTTGAACTGCATATTGGTTAGCCTTCTGATGTTTTAGGTTTTTTTTCTTAGGGCTTACACCTGGCTCTGTACTTAGGAAATCACTCTTGGAAGTACTCTGTTTAAGCCGAGCACTACATATGACTCCTTGAGCCCCACCAGGAGATCCCTGACTGTAGAGCCAGGAGTAAACCCTGAGTACACCAGGCATGGCAAAAAAAAAAAAAAAAAAAAAAAAACAAAACCCACAAACAAACCAAAAAACCCACCTCTGGCTTTCTCATTTAAGTCTGTTTTCATTAATTATCTGGCTGATTTGTCTAAAGGTGTGAGTGGTTTGTTTTGGTTTTTTGAGCCATACCTGGCAGTGCTCAGCTATTATTCCTGGCTCTGCACTCAGGAATGACTCCTGGTGTTGCTCTCAGAACCATATGTGATGCTGTGGATTGAACCTTGGTTGGCCCTGTACAAGGCAAATGCCTTACCCATTGTACTATATCTTCAGCTCCAGCGTGGGTTGTTTTTCAACTTTGTTTTGATTTTGGGTTTTGGACCATATCTAGTGTTGTTCAGGGTCTACTCCCACTGTGTTCTTGGGGTTGCTCCCAGCAATGCTTGGGGGACCATGCTGTGCCTGGGATTGAGTCCAGATTTTCTACAGTGCACGCTAGCTTATTGAACAGTCTCTCCAGCCCTAGCTTGTTGGTCCGTCCCCCCACCCCCCCACCCCTGCCCTTTCTTCTATTTTTGTTTTTTGGGCCACACCCAGAAGTGCTTGGGGATTACTCCTGGCCCAACTCAAGATCACTCCTGCCAGTGCTCAGGGGACTATAAGGGGTGTTGGGGATTGAACCCAGGTTGGCAGATGCCCTACCTGCTATACTGTTGCCCCCACCCATTTTTAAAAAATTTATTTTCATCTTGAGAAATTAATAAGTGAATGCTGAAATAAACTTAAGTTAGGGAGATGATCAAGGGCCTAGAGTATATACCTGCAAAGCATGCCCCAGGTTCATTCTCAACACTGCATGGTCCTCCAAGCACCACTTACTGTGGCCTCAAAAGAGAATAAAACACATTCCTTTATATCAGATTTTAGAACTAGTTACTGTTTTTAGGTCAAAATGGATAGTTATTATAAATGTGTATAAAGAAGTCAACTCTTAAAAATACTCATGAATCATTGGAAGTAGTGTTAGATCATGGTATCAAAAGCTTTTTGTGTGTGGGAAATGGAAATTGAAAAATAGCCTTTTGGCTCAATAATATATTTTTTATTTCCTGAGGAAGGGACAGGAGGAGAACTTTGTCCTAGAGGGACATATATAATGATGTCACTGTACTGAGAAGGTATTTGGTGTACACTTACTATGGTTTCAGATACCAACTTCCTATAAAAGCAAAAGAGGGATGAACTGTCTAAAAACTTTTAACATGGGGATGGATTGATAGTACAGTGGAGTTTGCCTTGCATACATACAGCCTACCAGGGTTTGATCTCTGGCATCCCATATGGTCCCCTGAGCACTACCAGGAGTAATTTCTGAGTGCAGAGCCAGAAATAATCCCTGAGCACCATCAGGTGTGACCATAAGAAGTCTAAATAAATAAGTTCCATAACTCCAAAGCTTAATCATTAAATTCTTCTCATTTTTATTTATTTTCCCCTAACAATGTCATTTTAAATTTGCCTTTTTTCTTCTTTTTTAACTTAATAACTGGCATGTTAAATTTGCTACCTTTAAAAAATTTAACAAGATTTTTTTATATCTGATTATTATTTCTCTTTATATTTCAATGTCCATAGTGTTCCCATATCATCTTTTAACCATTTGCCTATTATTGACTTGTAAACAACTTAGTTTTTCCATTATTGTATCAATACATTTTTTTCTGGTAATCATTCATAGATGTTGAGATATTTAGTCAAATATTTTATTGTTGGTGACAAATCCCATTCCAAAAAGTCACCCTTTTATTTTTTCAACTTGTGCATATTTATTTTCTTTCCTTTCTTCATGGAAAAATAAGGAATCAGTAAAAATTGTCAACTCTTTGCTTTCCTTTCTTTGAATATCTAATAAACTGTCTTAGGGAAATAGGTTATCTCAGAAGATTCAGATTCTGGGATCACTTCTTTTTGGGGAGCTGAAGGGTGTGGGGAACCTAGTTGAAGGGATTTTACCTGAACCACCAAAGGGTGCCACACCCAGCAGTGCTCACGGGCACTGTGCAGTGCCAATGATCAACCAAGGGATTGGCTAGATGTAAGGCAGGTAACTTAATTTCTGTTCCGTCTCTCTGACTCCAAAATGGGTTTTTGTGTTTTAAATTCAACAAACTGGTCTCAAAGGTTAAGACCCTGACCCCTAATAAGTTTTTTCCTTTGTGCTAGTTTATTAATTATAAAATTAGAACTGTTTTTCTTTTTTTTTCCTTTGGTGGGAGGAGCAGTTGTTTATGTTTTTTGTTTCAGAAATGAAGCTTATACGAAAGAACTTAGTAATATTTTTCTTTTGTTGCTGGGCACAGAACCCAGGACTTTAACATACAAGGCATGAGCTCTATCACTATGCCACTCCTCCACCCCAGTAATAATTTCTTGCCATGTGTTACTTTTAGCTTTCTAGTCTCTTTCCCCCCAATTTTGTGCATTAGATCCTGCTGAATTCTTTACTTCAGTAAAGAATTTATTTATTCCCTTTCTAGTGACTGTATTTCCTAATAGAAATTATTAAAACCATTCCATAATTTTGTGGTTCCTTTCTGTTTTTCTCTTCCAGTTCTGGGCCACATTTAACTGTGCTCAGGGCTTATTCCTGGTTGTACTGGGGACATACATGTTGCTGGAAATAAAACCAGGGTTAGGCTGCATGCTAAGCAGATTCCTTACCTCCCTTACTGTCTTTCCAGTCCCATGTTTGTTTGTTTGTGGGCTAAAACTCGATGCTCAGGATTTAGGCCTGGCTCTGTACTCAGGGAGCACTCCTTGTGGGAACTCAGGACCATGTGTAGTGTGGGATCAAACCTGAGTCAACAGCATGCAAGGCAAGCTCCCTACCTCCTATGGTACTGCTTCAGCCTGTGTTTTCTATTTTTTGGTGAAAAATTTAATATAGGGATATTTATTTGGTGGGCATATTACCTTTGTTTTTTTGTTTTTTGTTTTTTTTTTGGCGGGGGTATATCCATTAGCTGTGCTTAAGGCTTACTCCTGGCTTTGCATTCAGTATCACTTCTGGTGGGCTCAGGGGACCATAGAGGGTGATGGGAATATGAGCCTGGATTTACTTAGTGCAAGGCAAGAGCCCTGCCTAATGTACTGTTTTTCTAGCCCAACGTTGGTGTTATTTCTACATTGAAAATTTACTTTATCAAGACTAAGAGGACTTGGGCAGAGAAAATAGATGAAGTTGAAGAACCTCCAGTCAAACTGTCTAAACACATTTATGTATATTTTTGGTTTTGGTGCCACATTGGTGGCACTGAGGGACCACAGAGTGCAGAGGTCCAACCCAACCCAGAACCTTCACATGCAAACTTGTATTCCAGCTCTTTAAGCCATCTTCCTGATTGTAGTGTTGATATATACTGACTCACTGTGAGATACTTACAAACTTTAATGATTACATTTCAGTTACTCAATGACCAAGTACCCATCCCTCCACCAGAGCACCAGTGCCCATTCTCCACCACCAACATTCCTAGTATCCCTCCCGCCACCCCCGCCCTTCCCCCTCACCTCTGTGGCAGGTACCTTTTACTCTTTCTCTCTCCTTTTGGGTGTTGTGGTTTGCAATATAGGTAGAAAGTGGCCGCCGTGTTTGATTCGTAATCTATTTTCAGCACGCATCTCCCATCCCAAGCAAACCCTCCAAGCATCATTCACTTAGTGGTCCCTTCTCTATCCCAGCTGCCTTTTCCCCCCAGCATGTGAGGCCGACTTCCAAGATGTGGAGCGATCCTCCTGGTCCTTATCTCTATTATCCTTGGGTGTTAGTCTCCCATTGTTACTTTATATTCCACAAGTGAGTGCAGTCATTCTATGTCTGTCCTTCTGTCTCTGACTCATTTCATTTAGCATGATACTCTTCCTGTCCATCCACTTACATTGATTGCAGTGTTTTTTTTAAAAACTGAAATCAGATTCAAGTAATGCCTATGAGCTTTCTAAATCTTTACAGTAAAAGCCTACCAATGCTTAATAGGCTAAGTTAACAGTCTTTTTTGTTTTATTTTTGGGCCACACTTGGCAATGCTCAGAGGTTATTTCTGGCTTTGTGCTCAGGAATTAGTCCTGGAAGTGCTGGAGGTGCCAGGGATCGAACCTAGGTGGGTTGTGTGCAAGGCCCTAACCGCTCTACTATCTCTTTGTCCCCAAATAAAGTTTTTGGAAGATATATGAAAATTAAAGTTCCCTACATGGAATATAAAGTAGATAATTCAAAATTCTGATGGTACATTTTCAGAAGAAAAGCTTATTTATTGACAGTAACCTTTAGCAAAAGAAGTAAGTGTATTTTGTGGGTAGGGTGGGGTGCTGGGTCACAACTACCAGTGCTCAGGGCCTATTTTGATTCTGTGCTCAGAAGTGAACCATAGTATGACTTGGAGGACCATGTCTGGTAAACAAAACCAAACTGGGGTCAGCTGCATATAAGACAAATGCCTTAACCCCTGTACTATCCCCCTGGAGAGAAAGGAGTAAATGTTCTCACATTAGGATTGCTATCAGAATTAAATATCTTTATTTGCAGGTTACATGTCTTGCATGTGACAACAAATCAAATACTATAGAACCTTTCTGGGACTTGTCACTGGAATTTCCAGAAAGGTATCAATGCAGTGGAAAAGACGTTGCTTCTCAGCCATGCCTAGTTACTGAAATGCTGGCCAAATTCACAGAAACCGAAGCTTTAGAAGGAAAAGTCTATGTATGTGATGAGTGCAACTGTGAGTAGACACCATATTCTTGCTTTTCTAAGATTAGCAAAGTGAAGCACAAACCAGAAGAAGTGTGAAAGTCCTTCAGTAGCAGTTATGAAAAAATTTACCCAAAAAGCTTATTTTTTTTCTTGAATGTAACAGTGATCCTAGATTCTTTTTTATCCTGAATCCGGGGGGGGGGGGTCGCGGGGGGGGGGGAGTAAAACAATATGAATGAATCCAAAATAAATCCATATGTGTATATTTGCTGAAGTGAATCTCCCAGAGAGGGGTGTTGTGGCCAGTAAGAATTCAGGCCCTCTAGGATTAACTTTTTGTTTGTTTTTGGGTCACACCCAGCAATGCTCAGGGGTTACTCCTGGCTCTGTGCTCAGGGATGGGAATTGAACCTGAGTCGGTTGAGTCTAGCCTGATACACGTTTGCCTATTATGACTACCTCAAAAATTGAGTGTTTTGTAGTTATGTGATTTAAGTTTCTTGAGGGCAAGGCCACACATTTTTATCACCTTAATATAGTTCCTATAGTACAACAGATGTTTGATAATACATGTATGAATTAGTCAAGTTGACTCAGCCTTACTTGGATCCTTAAATTTCATTCCCATTTTGTCTTTATCATAGCAAAGCGTAGAAGGTTTTCTTCAAAACCAGTTGTACTCACAGAAGCACAGAAACAGCTTATGATATGCCACCTACCTCAGGTTCTCAGACTACATCTCAAACGGTTCAGGTTAGTAGTGGAAACTTACAATTGCCTACAAACTAAACATCTAACTTGATCATTACCCCTGCTTCAAAAGCCAGCCCATGATTAGTTAAGTTTTAATGTGGTATAATTGGCTGGAAGATGTCTTATATTCACTACTGTCACTGTCTTGAACCTTGACCAGCAAATACCATATTAAGCAAACAAATTGGATGAGCTTTCCTTGTAGAGTGCTTTGCTGATCAATAGCTTTTGTTCTGTTAAGTAGCATTAGTCTTGAGTTTGAGTCTGCATACAGTTTTTAGTCAAAGTTTTTAATCAAAGCATCTTTATAGGTCTAGTTTTTTAAATTTTAATTCTTAAGAGTATAGATCCTCAAAACCTATTTCGCTTAAAACTCCCTTTTCCAGGGGGGTGGGGGGGTGGGGGGGGTTGCGGGGGAAGACTACTAGACCCCACAAACTCACCCTTAGAAATCCACCTGCCTTAAGAGAAAAGAAAATGCCATCCATTGTACTTGAAACTACTACAATACCCATGCTCACCCCTAATAGTTCCAGCACCAGTGGTTAGAGCAGGGTTGTATTATCCACTCTGGGAAACTGGCTTAGTAGTATTTGGCTCAGTAGCTGAGTTCACCACCACCTGCGAACCAGCACCTGTACGTACTGCAAGACCAGTCTGTAGACTAGCAGTTTTAACCAAAGTGGTTGAGCAGTGAAAATCACAGGATTCTTAAATTTTTGGTTTTGGTCGGGGGGAAGACTGGGGCCACACCCAGCAGTACTCAGGGGCTACTCCTGGTTCTGTGCTCAGGGATCGCTCCTGGGGGACCATATACAGTGCTAGAGATCAAACAGTAGTTGGCTGCACACAAGGACAAGTGCCTTAACTTCTGTTCTCTCAGGCCCTGAATTCTGAATTATTCTGAGGAGTAAGAGGTGCCCTGTTTAGTTTTTCAGGGGGTTTTTGCCAGGGGGTTGGTCATTCCTGGTAGTGCTCAGGGGTTTTCTCCTTGCTTAGTAAGGGTGAGGGGTGTTTGGTGCCAGGGTCAGATCTTAGGCTCCAAAGCATGTGCTCAATCTGTTGAACTGTTGCTCTGGCCCCCAAATTTTCAAGGTTTTTTAAATTTTTGTTGTCATTACACTTTAAATGTTTAACATTACCAGCTATATTACCCTTGCCCCACAGTTCTAGTTTTTCTCTATACCTTGCCATAAAAGGTCCAGATTATGTCTCTCGAAGAGCAAATTCTAAGGGCTAGAATCATAATACAACACATAGGACACTTACCTTGCACACACGATCAACTCAGGATCCCTGACATGTCACCTGCACCCCGCATCCCTGAGCACAGCGCCAGGAGTATGGCTGAGTACTGCTGGTTGTGGCCCAAAATACAAACAGAAAAACAGATTCTGAACTATTGTTCTACTGCTGCAAGGCAACAAAGAAATTTTAAAAAACATTTGTTGCCTTGAATTTAGAAAGGGGAAAATGCCAGATAGGACTCTACTTTTCTGAACGTTAATTTCATCTTACATTATCTAACAGAAGGCAAATATTTACTTTAAAATCCAAATAGAGGAAGAAACCTATTTAATAAATTTAAATTCCTCCCATATATAGCCAGCTTCAGCACTGATTTTTATATTTACGTATTTTATCTAGCTTATTGGGACTATGGGTCATGATTCCATGAGGTTATATAGCAGAATGGGGAGGCCACACAAAAAAAAATCTTGTAAATTTGATTTACAGTTAAGTGTTTGATGTTTATCTATTTTATATATATATATATATATATATATATATATATATATATATAAAGTCAGGGGTATATCTATCTATATATGAGCAAAGATCCTGAATGGAAAAAGCTTAAACAGCCCAGCTCTACTTGATACTTATATTCTTTATTGAAGTCTTCTACTGAGACTGAACCTAGTACAACTTTAATTTCCTTTCATTTTTGTTAATTTCCATAGGTGGTCAGGACGAAATAACCGAGAGAAGATTGGAGTTCATGTTGGCTTTGAAGAAATCTTAAATATGGAGCCCTATTGCTGTAGGGAATCACTGAAATCCCTTAGACCAGAATGCTTTATCTATGACTTGTCTGCTGTAGTTATGCACCATGGGAAAGGATTTGGCTCAGGACACTACACTGCCTACTGCTATAATTCTGAAGGAGGTACAGATGGGGTATTTCCTATTGGGTTAAACTTGGAAGCTAAGGTTCAGAATGGGTTTAGCCTGATTTTTAAATTGGCCATAGAAACTTTTTAGGCCAAGCCATCAGGCCTCTTAACTTTCAAAAAGAAGCTGGAGTATTGTGCATAGAAAACTTTTGTGCAAAAAATGAGACATACTTTCTGTGGGGTTGCAAAACATTGACTCAAAATGAGTTAAAGTCAGAGTGTTCTCACAGTCACATTTCAAGAGTAGATTCTGTTTTGCTGGTTTGTCAGTTCTATTAGAGAAATGACATCTAATGAACCGGGAAAGTCACAGAAGTAAAAGTTTCAATATCCAAAGCTTTCAGTACTGCTTCTATGGGACCATACATAGCAGAAGTGATTAGATTTAGGTGTCATCTGCTTCTGATTTGACATTCTGCAGAATAAATTGAACCTTCCCAATATCACGTATCTCAGAGTAACATACTGTCCAAGTTGTATCTCTCACTGGAAGGAAAGGAGTTAGACAAACTTTCCCTACAGAAAAATAAACCTGGGACAAGAAGAATGGCACTGCAGGCTGAGTGCATGCTTTTAATATAAAAAGTCCAGGTTTAGTCTCAAGCACAAGGTCCACTGAGCAGCCTCCAACAGTGCTCATTTGTGCCCTCCAAAACAAAAAAATTGGCTCTTACTGAAACTTACATGTTATTAATGTACATTAGAAATGTCTAGATTATAAACGTTAAGGTATATTTCTGTGCTTCACTCTTAGGGTTCTGGGTACACTGCAATGATTCCAAGCTAAGCATGTGCACTATGGACGAAGTATGCAAGGCCCAAGCTTATATCTTGTTTTATACACAGCGAGTTACCGAGAATGGATATTCTAAACTCTTGCCTCCAGAACTGCTGGCTGGTAGCCAACCTTCCATTGAAGAAGCTGATACCTCTTCTAATGAAATCCTTAGCTGATCCAAAGACAGTGGGGCTTTCTTGTGATTTGTATATACTTTTTAAAAGGGCTGACTTAAAATTTTGAGCTGCATTGTTTTGTTTTTTAACTTCTGAATCAGTGCACACTATGTTTATATATTTTGTATCTAACCACAAGAAAAATTCTTTTAATAGCCTAAGTTAGCATAAATTCATGTATATCAACAGCAGGTCAACTAAACCTTTTTCAAATACTTTGGAGTTTTACAATTTTAGCCTTTACCTCAGACTGGTTTACCTCTTTTATATTTTGATGTCTTAATTGGCTTAGATCATGAATTTGTGCAATCTTCTACTGAAGTCCAAATGGCTTCATTTTATACATTTCTTATCTTTTGTAGCTATTTTCTATATAACTTCTCATTAATGGAAAATTAGACTGTCCCCATAAATAGTCTTACAAAAAAAGAAAAGGCTTTTCCCCCACAGGACATAGGATAGATAAATTACTACATTCAAACTGAATTATTAAGTTCTGTCACCTCCATACTCTTTACTCACTTGTGGAGATACTTAAAGGTTTTGTTAATACAGGGCCTAGAAGTGACATTGCTTTGGCTAATGAAATTTTAAAGTATTTAATGTAATCTTGCTACACAAATGAAAATAGCAGCTTTATATTTAAATAACCAGTACTGTGGACATAAAAAATTTTTGGCAGCAAACTGGTTTGGTCCAGATAAAGCAGTGATATCATAAATTTTAATATCACTGTCACTGCCGTCCCGTTGTTCATCGATTTGCTCGAGTGGGCCCAGTAACATTGTAGGACTTATTACTGTGTTTGGCATATCGGATACGCCACGGGTAGCTTGCCAGGCTTTGCCATGTGGGCTGGAGCAATAGCACAGCGGGTAGGGCGTTTGCCTTGCACACAGCCAATATGGCCGACCTGAGTTCGATTTCTCCGCCCCCCCTAGGGAGAGCCCAGCAAGCTACTGAGAGTATCTCGCCCACACGGCAAATTTTAATATAGCAAATTCTATTCTCAGGCTATAAAAAGTTTAACTTACATACAAATTTAACACTAGATCTCTTAAAGCTATTTTAAGGAATATAAAGTCTTTCAAGAGAATTGCATAGGCCAGAAATAATTGTTTAAAATTAGTAACCAGGCATTATATTCAGCATTTTATTTTTCTAATAACCAAAGCCTGAAATTTTAACTCTTGCTGGGATTATGTAAATACTAGGTACCTCTTCAAACTCTGGGCCCTGGCATCTAAATTAAAAATTATCTAAATGAATTATATTAAGAATATATAAAATACTGTTATTTCTTAATCTTAATCTCAAACAATCTTAACTTTTATACTCTTTAAATTTTACTGCTGCTAATTAATCTTATTCAAGAGGAAAAAACACTAACCTAGTGCAGTGTTTTAACAAACACTGTAAGACCATCAATCCCTTTTAAGTGGAGTTACTTGCATTTTGAAATTTTAACGAAAAATAGTAACTCAAAATGTTGTTCTCAAATAATGATCTTTAAAAGTAATCTTGAAAGGGACCTCTTTTAGCAGATTTTTCTTAAACTTCAGAACCAGTCACCTGGGGCAGCTAATCATGAAGTGCAATGAGAATTTATCACTGACCACAAATACCATTAATGCCAAAAATACAGCTTGAGTATTAAGTAGCTATGGCTTAAGATCATTTATTAAATATACCTATGCAAGTTGTTACCTCAAACTGTTACACAATTATACCTCATTAAAGATTTAAATGGTCAAGACACTGAAGTCTAGCCTTTTTTTAATTTCAAGGACGTTTTCTGAGGTGCTAAACTTTATGTAAGCAGTTAACCTCATTTTAGTCAAAAAAATTTAAAGGTAGTTCTGGAAGCTCTATTGTTTGTAATGATAAAATTGCTTGTTTCAGTACTTATTTTTGTTTCAATGTAAAAACATACAAGAAAGAAATAAAGTGACTTAGCCCTTGACATTTTTATTCCTTGAAACTAAAACCCGTGAGGGAGGTGGTGTGGGTGGAGATGGGGTTATAGGGACTCTCGGTTCTTTATGCTGTTGCTGTGAACCTAAAACTAAAAATGAATAGAAAAACTTACTGTACATCTTTTCTACATTCTGCTATGTTGATCTAACAAAAAACAACATGTTTTTGTTATAAAATAATTTACTAAAGGCACTATTGTTAAACATCAAACTAAGAATTTGTTACCAATAAGGTACATCATTGTAAACATGACAAAATTATTTCAAAAGATACATGGCTAACAGGTAAACAATACAATTTTTTTCCCTTAAGTGACAGCTTTCCTATTTACAAGATCATGTTCCTTCAGGCCATTCCAGGGGCATCCAGTGTACCATTGTTTCCAAGTTACCTGGGAAAGGGAGCTTGAAGCTCAGAATAGGTAGTTCTGAGATCACTACTACTGAAGAGGTCTATACAAAGCTCCAAAACTCTTCACTCACAGGATCAATTCTAAAATTCTTAGACTTAAAAATCAAGATATTTATTTTATACCTTCAACCAGAGCACATCAAAAAGGTTTGGACTTAAAACCCAGAAGATCAAGCTGGAGGCCCAAGCCCAGTAGCAGGCATCAATAGGTGAGCTCTGCCATTAGCATCACAGAAAATGCCATTAGCCATTAGCATCACAGAAAACGAGAAACTATTCAAAGGTAGCTAGTGAACATTAGCACCATAATAACATGGCTCATATAGCTAAAAACTAGATTGTCTATCCCACAAGATGACATTCATTTATAGCTCTAATGTTTAAAGAGCAGCCTTTTAATTTATAATAAATGATCTAAATATAGAAATCATAGGTTTTTCTTCCTATGAGGAAACATTTAACAAAATACAAACTAAACAGCCTAGAGGCAATAAGTCTTATGTGCTAAAGCATATACAAATTAAGGCTTGGTATACCTGGGTACATAACAATTTTCAACTTGTTGGTACATTACCAACAAATCATTTTACATGTATGACTTCAAGCAATCAGTTCAATAGTTGATAGTGGGATTCAAAGAAGTTTTACATTCAACTTAAGTTCTTAGCTACCATAAAGGTGTCATGTAATTTCACTTCCTGAAAATAGCTCCCATATATAACGAATTTACACCAGGGGAGGGATGGGGTATTCGAGGATTTGACTCAACTACCAAATAAACCAAAAATTCCACTTAACTTTGCTAACTAGAACAAGATCCAAACATGGTAATTTTTCCTGTTTTTCTTGTGGATTTTTTTTTTTTTTGGTGATTTTAAATGTCCTTTTGGTTTACTGAATCAGTTAAATAAATTTCCCTATAAATAATACTGCTGGATAAAGGATCTGATGTTGAAATTTGACTAAACTAAGCTCCAGTAAAAAATTCCAAGTTCATACAATTCTTTCATGTTTCAATTTACAATATCCAATGCCAGGGGAAAATATGAAAGACAAGGACTATTAAGGTTCTAATAAGAAAAATAAAACAGTCTCCAAAGCAGTATAATTAAGATTCTCCTCCAACTTTATGCATGTATAGATCTTGTTTTAGCCACATGTAAGCTTCAACTTTAGAGTTCTACAATCCAAATAAAACACATTTCCCAATATTTTCCTGTGCAGAATTATAACCACAGACATTGAAATGTAGCTCTCAGATCTGAAAATGTCTTTATTTTTTAGAAAATGAATTCCAGGAAGGTTTAAAAAGCAATACCAGAGGGTATAGGTGCAGAATCGGATGTAGTCATTCGAAGCATTCAATTAAGAATATGGCAATATAAATAACTGAAAAGCATCTCTTAGGTGTTCAAAATATGTCAGTCATTTCTAACTAATTTGAGCTTAATAGCATTTCCTAGAAGTGGGGAGAGGGGAAGATGAACAGTTAAATCTCAAAGTCCTGAAAGCTTTTTCCTTGGTTAATTACATTAGATGGTTTGCCTTTGATCAAATTCCTTCCTTTTTAAACATGGATAAAAGTATTATATCCACTGTTAACAGACAACATGTTGCAAATTAATTCTGGTATAATCCAACAAAGCTTAGAAAATAAAAGATGTTTTGGTGGCTTTGGACTAAGTTTTAATAGTCATCTCCTCTGCTGACAACTTCTTTACATGTTGGACGTAAGAGTATGGTATGTTCAAACTGCGCTGTATATGATCCTTTAATGTCACATAATGGTGGATAAGGATCTACTATGCCCAAGTCACACAGATTCTTCAGAGCCATCAAGTATTTACTTTCTCCCAAGCGATCCAGCCATCTGCGGCAGAAGGCAAGGGTTCCAAAGTTTTCATTGATGACATTTAACAAGTGTTTTGTTCTTGGAAGCCTAAGAGGAGAAAAATCCAAAATTAATCAGCAGGCCTACAGGTCACCAACTCATTTTCCTTACTAATTGAAAAATAAAACCACTTACATGTATGATTTTAAAGCCATCAGTTCAAAATCGGTAGTAGGTATGAAAAATACATTCCTCTTGGTGCCAGAGAGATATAACAGGGTTAATTTTGCCTTTGCCTTCTGTGTTGCGTAGCCTGGTTTGATCCCCAGCACTCTAGTTGGTGTGCCCCAAACCTCCCTTCCCCTCAAAATGAAATAGAAAACCTTTTTCAAAAACCAGAATCTGTAACAACCCATTCCTACTTACACATAACAGCTGGTTAGCTGAAATCTATCTTATGTTTATGAACCAGCATGTGTGCCTCAAAGTTTCACTATAGGCTTGTCAATAGTATATATGAAAATTTCTCAAGCGTGAGCTGCCTGAACACCTAGCAATGCTCAGGGGAACCTTATGGGTGCCAGGTACTGAACCAGCATTGGCCACGTGCAAGGCAAACCTCTTATCTGCTGTACTATTGCTCCGGCCCATGGCCTGAACATATTAATATCCAAGTGTGTATCCAGCAACAAGGTGTGAGTTGTAAATCTAGCATTTAATGATTTTTTTCTATATTGGGAATACAGAAAAAAACAAAAAACCTAAAAATACCAGAGTAGTATTATTTGAAATTATTGTAATTGCTGGAAACTGGATCTAAAGAAAGTATTTGCCTACAGCATTTTCATCAACTTTTATCAGTTAAAATTCTTTACTTAGGCAGTTTCTTTGCAGTATTCTAGAAATCACAGAACTCACTGTTAGACTATAGAACATTCATGAATCTACTACTGTAGAGGCTTTTCATATTTTTAAATGCTATTAACAAAGATGACAATCTGCTTTAGTCATATAAAATTAAGTCTCTCACCTTATTGGCACATGCCCAACATCAAAATTTTTCATGTAATGTGAACATTCCATATCATCATGAACAACACCTTTTCCTGTGCTACCGAAAGTTTCAATAGCGTATACTTCTCCTTCCTAAAATGTAAGGGAGAGAAGGGAAATTCAAAACTAAACAAAAATAACTCAACTGCAGGCTGAAACATTCCCCCCCCCCAACAAATCCTTTTAAGAAACAACAAAATCATCTTTGGCGGCTTCATTCACCTTCCTCTGCTTCCTCTCCTTAGCACTTTCTGATCCTTCTGCGTCCAATTAGAATGTAGCTTTAACATGGACAGAGAATTTTGTTCACTACTACATCTTCATTGCCAACTGACGCTGGAAACTAGAAGACCAATAAATATTCACTGTGTTCAAAAATTCTGTGACATATCCACTTGTACTAGCTGGTGGAGCCCTGATTTAACTAACACAATCTGCACACCCACACAGTCCATTCCTGTTGGGATGAGTGTGTATGGCAAGTTAATTTTGCTCAAATGTACCTTATCTACCTTACCTATAAATTATCACTAACCTTATGGGGAAAAAATACCTATTTTTCACAAAAAACCAAAGTTAATAATATACATACCTCCATCCTTGTTGCCTCTCCTCCTTTCACAATGGGTACTGTTTTCCCAGCATGAATTCTATATGGCCCAATTGAATGTCCATTTAGATTACGGATTGGTTTCACTGGCACATAATAAAAAAGAGGGGGGAAAATAAGATATCTAGAAAGACAAATATCTCTTGGCATTTCAGTTCAGAGTTCAAGCAATCTGAAACAATTATCTGTTAAGGTGACGAACTAAAGGTAATGTGAAACAAGAATCTATGTTGAAAGGATTACCAGACAGTAAATGATACCCACTCAAATATTAAAGAAAAATTAAAAAACCCAAGACCTTAACATCAGTAACAAGTTGTTATAGTCATAGATTGGTATAATAATGATTTCTACATTAGAAAACCAACAATCAAAATATTCAGGTATAATTTTAATATCTGTAAAATCCCCTACAATTCCATATATACAGTTCAAAATTAAGCATAATTAGATAAATACAAAAAAGCAAAAGCAAATACTTTATATTCAAGACAGTGGTATAATATAGAGAAAGCTGCTGTGGTTGAGAAGAAATATTAGAACTGAAGCGCTTTTGGAATGTGAGCAATATTCTACTTCTACTTCTGAAGGATGAAGTCCCAGAGCTTTTTTTACAATTCTTTATTTGGGGTTGGAGTTGTCATGTGGGTTTTAGCATGCCTGGTGGTGTTCAGGACTTAGTCCAGGCTCTGCACTCAGGGGTGACTCCTCGCAGTGCTCAGAGGGTGACATATGCAGTGCTGGCATCAAACCAGGTCAGCCACATACAAAGTAAGTGCCTTGCTTCCTGTATTATCTCTGAGGCCCAGATTTTACAATTCTGGCTTAGGAAATAGATTTTTGTGTGAATTTTCAGTGTTTATTTCACAAACTAAAAAAGAGGAGGGTTTAGCAGAGCCATAGTACGGCAGGTAGCACACCTGCCTTGCACAGGGCGGCTATCCTGGGTTTCAGCCTGCCAAAAATGATCTCTGAGCACAGATTAAGCCATTGAGGAATAAACCCTGATCACTGCTGGTGTGATCAAAAAGAGAGGAAAAATTAGAGCCAGACAGAGAATACACCCGGGCCGGCTGCTGTCCCTACTGGCTGTGCTATCACTCCAGCCCCTCCCTCTCATTTTTTGGTGGTAACTGTCTACTGATCTAGCCATTTTGTAAAACAATATGGACATTCCTCAAAATACTAGAAATTGAGCTTCCACAGGACCCAGCAATACTGCTGAATGTACTCTAGGGGCTCCAAACATAGGCATTCATATGTTCATTGCAGCACTATTCACAATTGCCAGAATCTAGAAAACAACCTGAGTATGCAAGAACAGGTGACTGGATAAAGAAACTTTGATTCATTTACACAATGGAATACTACTATTAGGAAAAGTGAAGTCATGGAATTTGCTTATACATGGATGGGCATGGAGAGTATCATGCTGAGTTTAATGAGTCAGAGGGAGATGCACTCATTTGTAGAATATAAAATAAACAATATGAGGATAATACCTAATGACAACAGAAACAGGAGTTAGGACTGGTTGGTTCATGGTAGGAAGTCTGTCACAAGGAGGATGGGGCAGGGGTGCTGAAAGGAGGTGAAGTGATAAGCTTGATAACCTTTTTGTAACAGTACTGCAAATGACAGTGCTTATAAAGGGGGATGGGGGCAGTGAAGGGAAGGGTGTTGGAACATTATTTGATGGAAATACAATCATGAACAACTCTGTATCTCCAGGTGATTCAATACAAAAAATAAAACACTTAAAAAAAGGGGTGGGGGATATAAAGGGAACCAGAGAGATTGTACAAATGTTAAAGCAACTGCCTAATATGCAGCTGGGCCATGGCACTGGTTCAATTCCCAGCACTGCTGGGAGCAGTCCCCAGGCAAAAACCAAAAAAAGGAATGCAAAAAGAGTAAAACGTAAAATGTCGCACAGACTTACTGTACAAGGTAGGAAGGCAGGGATATTAGCACTGTAGCACTGTCCTCCCGTTGTTTAGCGATTTGCTCAAGCGGGCCCAGTAATGTCTCCTTTGTTAGACTTTGTTACTGTGTTTGGCATATTGAATATGTTATGGGTAGCTTGCCAGGCTTTGCCGTGTCGGCCAGATAGTCTCGGCAGCTTGCTGGGCCCTCTGAGAGGGGCAGAGGAATCAAATCCAGGTCTGCCGGCCAGCCAACCGCGTGCAAAGCAAAACGCCCTACCACTGTGCTATCACTCCAGCCCAGGGTTATAAAGGATTCCAATATTACAAGTCATAATAAGTATGGAGGAACAACACACACTGTCAAACGGTCACCTACTATATCTCGAAAGACAACACATCAATCAAATTTACAGAATTAGGAAAAACTGAGAGATAATTTGACAATAAGTATTTCTTATGGCATCAAACCTTTACATTTCTTACAAAACAACAACAACAAAAAAAACCCCACTAGGGGCCAGAGTGAGAGTACAGTGGGTAAGGTGCTGCCTTGCACATGGCCAACCCCAGGTTCAATCCCTGGCATCCCATATGGCCCCCTCAGCACTGCCAGAAGTAATTCCTGACTGCAGAGCCAGGAATAACGTGAGCATCACTGTGTGTGACCCAAAAAGAAAAAAAAAAAAAGGAAGAAAAAAAAATCACCGATATCACCAACAGAAGAATGCTAGTTTTTACAGGTAACAAGAGGAGGTCAGGCTCAAATTAGATGTGCCTGACCCCAAAACAAGTTATCTTCATTTATATATTTTAAACAGACCTTCTATACAAGTGTAAGGTTTATTTTAATTTTTCTACAGATGTTCACAGGATTCCTTTCTGTTAGGTCTTAGAGAATTACTTCTGCACTCGGTAGAAATATCACAATCTGTATGTGTCACAGGGGACTGCAATCAATGCTGAATGATAAGCATTCACTAAAGGGGCAAAAAAAGCATCAGTGTAAACTCAAAGAACCATAAGGAGAAGAATCAGTTCAAAGAAATATAGGAGATAGTTCATAAAGAAAGTTATAACTCTTCAAGAGCAAGGAAACGGTAAGAGGAGGAAGGAGACATTACTGGGGTGATCAGACAGACACTGGGAGATGGAGGACGGCTATAGTGGGGGTGAGTACCATAAACTACAGGTGACTCTGGGACTGTGCACTGAAGGCAGTGTCAAGGAAAAACCAGAAAGCAAAGGAAACAAAGATGAAAGAAGGGAAACACAGGAATTACCTGGTCTCTAAAACCAAATAAAATTAAAGGCTCATCAATGGAAAGGATCTCTAATTTCTCTCTGAGCTTCTTTCTGATAGTGAAAACAAAACAAAAACCCCTAGTCACACTTTGGACACCATGAGATACATTCTGAGGCAAGGTATATTCATATCAGCAACCAGGGTAGCCTGGCAATAGTTCCCAGGTAGTGCCCAAAGAATTCCTACTATGAGCAGGTAATTTCCTTCCTTTCCTCCTCTATAACCCTCAAGAAATAAAGATGAAGTGTTAACCTGGAGCAAGCACACTATTCTGTAAAATAAGTTCTGCAGGTCACATACAAATTAAATACTACTTTCTCTTTTTTCTTGATGATGGGGTTCAAATCAAGGGATTCAGAAATGCAAAGGATGCACTTTTTTAATCACAAAGTCACATCTCTGCTTCTAAGATACATTTTTAAAGTATATACCTTGATAGGTCTTCCCATCAATCTCAACTTCATATGATTCCATTACTTCCTGGATAGCCTCACCAACATCACACAGACGGACATCAATTCCAGCACACTAAAAACAGAAACAGGTATATTTTGCTACTTAGACTGCAGGGCCAAAGAGACAGTACAAGGGTAAGATCCTAGTTTTCCGGGTGGCCTCTCTCCATGGTTGGGTCCCCAGCACCACAAATGGTCCCCCAACAGTGTTCAGAATGTGCCCAAACTAGCCCCCTTTCCCCTCACACAATAAAAATTAGAACAACTGCGTGATACATTTTAACTCTAGTATTCTACTACTAAGACTCAAGCATAGTATGTCTTCTGTAACTCAAAGGCCATAATCAGACTATGAAGTATTCAATGAAAGGTATTTAAAATGCACATACCTTTATTCCAGTGTTAGTGGCATCTTTTACAGCCTTTAATAATGTATCATATTTGGGATTAAAAGTGACAGTAAAAGCACAGTCAATAATCCTACCTGAAATAGAAAATTCTCTTTTAAGTCATTTACTTTTTGCATCTGTAACAATTAACCTTGCTACCTAACAGAAGTAAAATACTGACTTAAATAATAGCAGCTCTACCCAGATAAACGTGTGTGTGTGTGTGTGTGTGTGTGTGTGTGTGTATTGGGGGGGGGGGGGGGGGTGGGGGGTGGATTACAAAAAAGCTACATAAATATTTCGGAATGAAAGATTAATTCTAGAATCAGTATAGATACATACAAACACATATATATGTAAACATATGTTATGTATCACTTCTGGACAGTACTCATTCAGGCAGTTAAGCAAAATATAAAAAGAAAAAGATCAAAGTGAGAACAGTTTCAGCAACTACACAGTAGCAGTACAGGGCAAAGAAAATGTGCAAGATCACAACATGCTACTTAGCCATCAGTCCCAGCTTCTCCAATTCAGTTAGTGTTACAGGTTTTAAGCTTTGCTTTCTCATATTCAAAACACACTTACAAGGAAATAACGTATTTACCTAACATGATTCAGGGAAAACACACACACACACACACACACACACACACACACACACACACCCCTAAAAATATGTAGGTCATCATAATTTGATAAACTGTCAAAGTGAATGATCTAAAGAGACATATTTTTTCATGCCTCCATATAAAAGGTAATAATCCTCAATTATACCCAGAGGTTGGCACTGTCTTCTATAAGGGCTTAAAAACTAATCTCAAAATCTGCCTCAATACAGCTCTACTGAAAGGTGAGGCATCAATGAAATTTGGGAGTTCACTATTTATAGCTTCATCCAATAGGTATGATGGGTATTTTTTGAAGGTGCAATGAGAATTGTTTCCAAGCACTCACCACTTATATGCGTTCCAAAGTCTATCTTACAGATGTCATCATACTGTAATACTGTTGTGTCGCCGGCATTGGGAGTGTAATGGGCAGCACAGTTATTGAGAGAACACCCTGTAGGAAATGCCAGGCCTGCATTTAATCCATTTTCTTTTATTAGCTTTCGTGAACAGTCTTCCAACTTTTCACTAAAGAAAAAAAAGGGGGGGGATTACTTTCTTACCCTTATATACATCTAATACAGAAATTCTACAACAACTCTGGAAATGACATGGGAATTTTCTGGATATAAATAAAACAGTTCAATGATATTATAAAACTAGTAGCTGAAGTATCTAATTCCATTAGAAATCTGGAAACAAAACTGCCATTTTTACCTACTTTATTTGTAGGTAGCACTGTAGCCCTGTCCTCCCATTATTCATCAATTTGCTCGAATGGGCACCAGTAATGTCTCCATTGTGTAATTACTCCACTGGCATATCGAATATGCCATGGGGAACTTGCCAGGCTCTGCCGTGCATATTTGGAGGTAAAAACTTTTTAAAAACAATTTTTAAATTTATTGTTTCTGATCCACTCCCAGTGATACTCAGGGGTTATTCTTGGCTCCGCACTACTCCTGGTGATGCTTGGGGAATTATGGCATGCTAGGGATCAAACCAGATCTGGCCTGCATGCACGGCAAGCACCCTATCTGTTGTACAATCTCTCCAGCTCTGGAGGTTAAGAGTTGTAAACTAACATTTTATTTGCTCAGTTTTGGCAGTCTTAAAAACTGTAATCAGATAACTAAAGTACTAATTATTTCTGAGAATCAAAACTGGAGAAATAACTGTTATTGGTTTCTTCACTGCATCATAAATGTTGTGTGTCCAAGAATTTTGATTTAATATAAACTGTTAGATGGCAGAACAGATGTCTAGACAGAAGGTAAGAGTCAGTACCATGTACGTTTGCATGGATGAATATTGTACATTACTATACAAGGTGACTGGGGTGCAAATATTTGTCTCTTAAGGTTGACTTGTTACCTAGACATAAGAATTCAAAAGTATTAAAAAGGTACTAAAGAAAGTTTAACATTAAGCATTTTTTGTTACAATGAATAATTTCTACAGCTTAAGCTCTATCTCATCACAAAACATATTCCTTTACCAGATTTCTATCATTGTCATTCCAGGTTTGATCCAGCTCATAACATATTTTCTAACTTGGCGATGTGCTTCTGCAGCTTCTCGAAAATCATTCCAAATCTCTTCACTAGCTTGATCGAGTGCTTTCTTTTCTTCACTTGTAGTTCTCCAAGCAGCTGTTCGCCTTTAAAGCAGGCACAGCATAGTATTAGTCATTTTACAAACAGAATAAACATAAAAGATAAAAATATACTAATTTAAGAACTTGAGATAAAATTAAACAATTTTTATATATACTTTGTATTCATAAAAAATATACTTTGTAATTATAAAAAATTATAATTTGTTTATAATTATAGAGTACACACAGATACTATGTACAAATGAAATTAATTATATATTTGGTGAACTAATCAGTCATACACCTGCAATCAATCCAAGAAACTCAAACTTCTTTAGGTTCCTAAGAAAAAAAAAATCCTCACGATAATGCATTATAGTCAGAGGAAATCTTTTGTCACGCAAAATAACATTTAAAAAAAAAGCCGCCAGACTTCCAGATACCCCAAAATTGCTGCTGTGCCTTTGGCCAGACCCCAAAAACTTGGGGCAAAGTTTACCAAGAAAGTAAACGGCCAAAAGTTAGGTTGATACACTGCATTTGTGAAACTCAATCACAAGCACCTTTATTAAATGTGTATCTCACAGTTATTCAACTAAATCTTAAAAAGGGGCATACTTATTTTGTTTGGAAGTGTATTTTAACTCTTATCTACTTATATTAATAGACAACTGAAATAATATGATACCATCAGTTAAAAATCAGGGAGTTTTAAACTCCCTTAACAAGAGCTGGAAAGAGTACAGAGGTTAAGGAGCTTATTTTATATACAGTCAGCACCCGTTCTATTCGCACCACTGAATATGCTTCCCCAAGAACTGCCAGGAGTGATTCCTGAGCAGAGCAAGGAGTAAGTCCTGAGTCTAGCTGGGTGTGGCCCCACAAAAGAGAAAAACATTGGCTTATGGGCCACCAAGTTAATACAGGCTCTTGTCCTGCATGTAGCTGACCCTGGTTCAAATTTCCAGCACCATATAAGGTCCCCCTGAGCTCTAGGTATGGCCCCCAAACAAAACAACTAAGGAAATAAATTTCATAGGTTAAAAACTCCAACGGCATCTTCTAACCAGATATTCAATGGAATACCTCCAGACTTAATATGTTCTCGGAGAGAACAAAGCTCCTACTGACCTTTTGCTTACGGATCCACCATCCCAAGTGAGGCCTGCCTTCTGCTGTCAAAGGGCCTATTCTAGAATGGAAGGAAGAGCCCTCCCTACTACCGGGTCCCCACAGCCTCCACATCTGTGCCATATCACAGCACCTGAAGTGAGCAGCCACATCAGTAGCTGAGGTACAGCTTTACTCAAACAGCAAATCCTCAGTATCTTTAGTGACACTATGATGAGGATGATCATTGAGTTCAGAGAAATTATAGCATAGGTCGTCAGCAAAACACAAGAAAGTATGCTAGTCAAAATGAAAAAACTACTATGGGCAGAAATCAGGAACATGGTAAGTCACCTACTCCAGATGGAATCCTGGCAATCAAGAGCTTCCACAAGGCCCAGGTATGTGGGTTCCAGGACTAAATCTCCAGGCCACATGGTGGCAGAGGTGCTGGGTTTTCCCTCCCAGGCTCCCCTCCCACTCATTGGCCTGGCTGTCACCCCCACAATGTGCCTCCAGGTGCCATCTTAGCGCACCAACAGCCCTGGTCCAGAGACGCACAACTGAATCCCAAAATGGATTAGTGCCCTACAGAAATGTCTAGAACCCAACCACTTACAATCGAGGATTCCAGAAGTGTGCGGCTGTGGCACCCAAAATATTCTAAATGAGCAAAAGACAATAAATGATCTAGCATCTGCCTCTGGCAGGCAGGCTAGAATGGTAATGGGGAAATTTGAGCAAAACATAATGCCCAAAAGTAAAGAGAGAGTATTGGGGAAACTGCCTGCCATGGAGGCAGGGTGAGAAATGGGATGGGGGTAGAGGGGATATCCTGGGGACATGAAAATTTACTCCTTTATAATATTCTATGTCTTTAATTTGAGCCCAAAATGTCAACTAAAGAACCTAGCAGTTTACTGAATACAGCTAAATTTGAGTATAAAATTAGCAAAAGAACTTCTTAAATCAGTTTCTGATGTACCAGTGATGCAAAACATTACGTAATGCTCTAAAAAATTTTATATTTACATACTGTCCTAAGAGCCAGTAAAATTTCAAGAATATTCTATCCAGCTACATTACCATTCAGATTTGAAAGAACTATACAGAATTTTATAAGACAGGCAATAGCTTAGAAAATTCATAGCCTTGAAACCAACTTTGCAAGAAGCATTAAAAGAACTCCTTTGAAGGAGAGAAGAAACTTCCCATCATTTTACTTATAAAATAGGAATGTCCAAATACTAAAACCAACATATCTCAAATAATTATCTTCCATACTTCTGATGGCCACATGGCTGGCTCTTAGGACAGTGTTTCTTTAAAGCATTATGTAATGTTTTGCATCACTGGCACATCAGAAACTGATTTGAAGAAGTTCTTTTGCAAATTTTATATTCTAATTTAGCTGTATTCAATAAACTGCTAGGTTCTTTAGTTGACATTTCAAGCTCAAATTAAAGACGTAGAATATTATAAAGGAGTAAATTTTCTAAATAAAACTTTTTGATGTTCAAGTTAAAATACAGAAATTATTAAGATCTGATTGATTTCAAACATTCCGACCTTGTAACAATTACCGTAAAAGGCAACTAATTCATTTGATTAACAAAGGGCAAAAGTGCTTCATAATTTTGTTGTCTATAAAACAAAGCCAGAGAACTATTTGAAAGCATCTTTTTAAGAATTATTTTATACACCATGTAAATTCTTCCAATATCTTTGATATGTGACTCTTTAATATTTCCTCACATTTCCCAGTAAAAAATTAAGTTCCAGGGCTGGAGCAATAGCACACCGGGGAGGGCGTTTGCCTTGCATGGGGCCAATCCGGGTTCGATTACCAGTATCCCATATGGTTCCCCTAAGCACCACCAGGAGTGATTCCTGGGTGCAAAACCAGGAGTAACCCCTGAGCATTGCCGGGTGTGACCCAAAAAGCAAAACAAATAAAAATACCTCTCTCTCTCTCTTAAAAAAACAAAATGCCTGTCTTTATTCCAGAATTAAAATATACATGAAGATTTAACAATTCCTACCCCTGAATACTATCACAAAAAAGGGAAGAAAATAAAGTATAAAAACTATAGTCTATTTTAATTTTAATTTTTGTTTTGATTTTTGAGTTGCACCTGGCTGTGCTCAAGGATCACTCCTGGTAGGCTCTAGGCACAATATGTGGTATCAGGGAACAAATCTGAGTTGACTGTATTCAAGACAACTGCCCTACCTGCTGTACTACGGTTCGAGCCCAAGTCTAGTCTGTCCCCAGAGGAAAAGAGAAACACTCTACTTACAGAATGTCATCTAATAAATGTAGTATTACAATTAGAAATTCAACATATTGTAAACACCTTGTCTTGTGCCTTATCTTAGACTTTTAGTTTTTCCTTGTTGATTATAGTATTTGCTGTGGGCTTTTGTGGTAAACAGCCTTGACTATCTTGCCAAAAATTGCTTCAATTTTCATGAGTTTTTATCATGAATGGGTGCTGGACTTTGTCAATTGCTTTCTCTACATTTAATATAATTTTTACTTTTTCTTTATTTGATAGGGTTTATTATTTTATATGACTTCTGTATGTTACGCTTGTTAAGCCATCCTTGGGACACTTGATTATCATTTTGATTTCTCAGTGATAAACCTGTTCAGGATTCAGATCATCTTGGTTCAGCCATGGGAGATTATAAGAGTACAAAATTTGCCCATTTTTTCCTAAATTCTCTCATTTTTGTGGCATGAAGATTTTCAAAGTAATCTTTGATGGTTCCTTGAATTTCTGTAGTATCTGTGTGAACTCCCCTTTCATTTCTGATTCAGTGGATTAGGGTATGGGATAAATCAGGCAAGGGAACACAAGCACAACAGTGGAAGGGAAGAGCACCTGCCACAGAGGCAGGCCAGGGGCAGCGGGAAGGGGAGCAGGAGAGAAACTGCTACAGACATTGGTGGAGGGTAGTGGAAACTGGTGAAGGGATTGTTGGAACATCTTGCACCTGAAAATCATGGATCTTTCTCCCAGTGATTCTATTTTTTAAAAAGAAGTGGACAAATTATGGCATACACATAAACATGCAAATACTGTCATTAGAAATTTAGGTGATTTCCTTACAAACATGAAAACAAATTTTAAAGGGCGATACAGATGGAGCTCAGGGACAGCAGGCATGCTTTGTATATATAAGGCCTTAGACTCTACCTACACAAAATAATAGGAGTTGATGGGTGGGAGGAAAACATTCCCAGGTATTCATAATAAACCCTTTTATATAAAGAGTATTAGAAGGGCAGGAGCAGTAATGTAGCAGGTAGGGTGTTTTGCCTTGCCCACAGCTGACCAGGTACTCCCCAGCATCCCATCATCAACAAGAGGACCAGGAGGAATGATCCCTGAGTGCAGAGCCAGGAGTAAGCTCTGAAAACAGCAGCAGGGCGTGGCCCCAAAACAAAAAACAAAAAAGCATTGGAGAGAAAAAATCCACACGCTAACCTTGTTTTAAATTCACTGGAAGAATTAAGGTGATTCTTATTTTCTTTATGCTTACATATATTTCCTAATCGTTCTCTACAAATATGTAAAGTTTCTAAAATTAACATGAATTCCACAAACTGTCTACTACACTTAGAAATAACTATTAAAATTTTCATAGTAACTGTTCATACTTCTACAGATGCAAAATTTTTAAAAAATCACATCTAAAAAACATACTATAATAGTCATCACAATTTTTTTCTAATAACTAATCTTAAAAAAGTATAAAAAGTAAATATTCAGGGGGTATGGTGCCGCCAGCAGGTCAATCTGTACCTGTGAGGCGAGTGCATCAACAGCCCAAGGGCACCTTCAGACTTCCAGATACCCCAAAATTGCTGCTGTGCCTTTGGCCAGACCCCAAAAACTCTTACTGAGTCTTATATTTTCTTCTTAGTCAATACCAATTTTTTTAGG